TTCTTTGTTTTTGGATGTGTGTCATGTTATTTTCTGTATTATTTAAAACAACTGAGATATCATGTTCTTTATCATTTCTATGCGACGAAATGACATTTTGATTTTCTTTTAACGCTTCCTTTTGAAGATATTCTTTATATAGTTTATTTTTAAATTGTTCATGTTTAAATAAATTAATTACAAAAAATATGTATGTAAGTAATTCGTGACTATATTTAAATTTTTCATAGGCATATCTTTTTTCTACATTTATAGGTATATTATTACTTATATATTCAAAATTATTATTAATAAAATCTTTATTTTCTTGTTTAATCTTTTCATATTCTTCTTTTTCTTTTTTTATTTGTTCTCTAATTAATGCTTCTTTTTCTTCACTACTAATATTACTATTTTCTATCTCCTTATTATATAATATACTTTTACTTTTTTTATTTGTGTTATATTTATTTCTATTTAATATATTATTCCTTTTATTCGAATATAAAAATAAATTCCCTTTATTATTCCCATCATATATTCTGAAACATATACTCAAATTATTTAATACGGAAAAGAGCAAGGTAATTTTTAATATTATTTTCATGTTTTCCTCATCTTTTCCATTTATTCATAATATATATTTTAATATTACAAAGTGGAAAAAGAAAAAAAAGAAAAAAAAAAGGACTTCCTTTAATAATATTTTTTATTATATTTTTTTTTTTTTTTTTTTTTTTTTTGAGGTTGATAATAATTCTTTTGTGTTATATTCTCAAAAGGTTATTTTATAACCAAAAGAAAAAAAATTTTTTTTTTCTTTTTTTTATCATTACTAATACACATATGTAAAAAAAAAAAATATATGAAAATATAATTTTAAGAAATATTAGAATTTATATACAATTATTGACATATATATTATTCATTATTATATATATTTCTTTTCTTTTGAGTATCTTTACATTATTACATATTATTTAATATTTATTTATATATAAATATATATATATATTTTTTATATATAGTAATATCGCAAGAAGCTAAGCTTAATTTGAAAATTCCATATGATATATTATAATAATTTTATTATATTATATTATATTATATTATATATATATATATATATATATTTTGGTTTATTTGTGTTTCGTATTTTAAAATTTCTCATATTTTATTGGTTCAAAAAAACAAAAATAAAAAAATATATAAAAACAAATAACATTAAAATATAAAATATTAATTTTTACAAAAAAAAAAAAAAAAAAGTTATATAAATATATATATATATATATATATATATGTGTGGTGATATATATTAGATATATAAATATAGCATATAATGTCAATATAAAAATATAAATTTCGTGAATGCAAAAATATTATAAAAGAAAATAAAAAATACATAACAGCATTTTTAAAATATATTTGTATTTAAAATATTATTAAATATTTTGAAATATGTTCTTAGATGGTTTTAAATATATACATATTTAGTGGACACAAATAAAAACAAATTATATATATATAATAAAATTTATCTAAAATTTTTAATATATGAACTTGTTCATTCCTTTTTAAAGATTTTTCTAAAATAATAATCCATTTATTTTATAGACAAAAACAAAAAAAAAAAAAAAAGGGAAGAAATTCAAAAAAATAATTAAATGAAAGAATAATTTAACTGGATTCTTCATTCTCTATAAAAATTAAAAAAAATGATTATTTTTTTTTATGTAGTTTATATATAATAAAAGGTCCAAATATACACACACACATATATATATATATATATATATATATATATATATATATATATACATTTATATATACATTTCCATTTTACCATTATCATTTTGATTAAAATTTTCCATTGTAGAACTTGCTAATTCTCTGTCCTTTGTTTTTATCTTTTCAAAATCTAAATATCTTAATGAAGGCATATTATATATTAAATATTCTCTATAATGTTCTAACCTGCAAAAAGCGTAATTATGATTATATATATATGATAATATTTCTTATACATATATATATATATATATATATATATGTATATGGACATATGCTTATTATATATATTATTACTTGCACACTGAATTTTCCAATAGGCTCAACCTTATTAAATTCTTGGCTTTAAAAAGTGATTTAAGATCACTTAATTTTTCTAGCTATAAAAAGTCAAGGAACATGAAAAAACATAAATGTATATTAAATATAGGGAGATATAAAAAAAAAAATATATAGAATAATAATAATAATAATAAATAGTTTTTCTTTTTTTGTATTAAGATATATTAATTTTTACGATAAGAAAAAATATATGTGGTCATATAAATATATATTTGTTACCTTATTATTGGTAAGAACTAAGGAATTTAAATTTGGTAAATTGTCGAATATGTCAGCATCAATTCTGGCTATTTTATTGTTGCATAATATTAATGTTTTTAATTTTTTTAAATATGGAATATTATTTAATTTGATTATTTCATTATCACTTAAGTCTATACATTCAAAATAATCTTTTGTTATACTTAAGTTTTCAATAACACTAATTTTATTACCTAAAAGAATAAAAATAAATGTGCAGAACATGTAGAATATAAATAAAAAAATAAATAAATAAATATATATATATATATATATATATATATATATATATATAATATTTGTGTGTAATGTTTAATTTTATTATTATTTTTTTTAAAGGAACCTATTATTTCACAGAATTCCCTTTATTAATAATGTATATATATATATACATATATATATATATATATATATATATATATATATATATATATATATATATACATATAATATATATTTTATATAATTTACATTTTTATTTATGTTTAACCTCTTAAAGAAATAGTATTTTCAAGAACTGGATTTCTTGATTGTTCTGCTTCATTTATCATATCAATTGTTATCCTCATATTTACTTTCCTTATTATAGTAATAATAATATTATTTAAAGAAATCAATATGAAGTTATATATTACTTCTCAATTTAATATTACTATATTATTAAAAACTATTATTGTACATATACATTTAAAAATATGAAAAAAAAAAAAATATATCTATAATATATATATTTATATATTCATATATTACACAATATATTTCAAAGTTATTAAAGTTTATTATGAAAATAAACTTTTAATTAATCATATTAATAAAAAAAAAGAATAATTAATATACTGAATATGACACATTTTGAGCAATTTTTTTTTTTTTCTTTTTTTTTTTCTTATAATAATATCTGAATTATAAAATATGAAATATGATAAGGGATAAGTGAAAAAAAAAAAAAAAATTGAACTTATGAAATATTATCAAAATATGAAATAGTATGAAATTATGATATAATATCGAAAATATGAAATAATATGCAAATATGAAATAATATGAAAATATGAATGAGATTTAAAAAGGTCATTTATATAAAATATACAATAACGCTAGTTCTTCTAAATTTTGAGAACATATTTATTATATATATATATCTATATTTTACAAAGCATATTATATGATATTATATAAAATTATGGATTAAAAGAATAATACCATTAATAATCACTTAAATATATATAATTAAAGTATGTATATTTTTTTATAGTATACAAATTATATGATAATTATTAACATATATACATATACATTAAACAACATTGTAGTTAATATATTGTCAAAGTTAATCATACAAACTTCTCTTCGGTATATGTAAATGTATAAAAGGTAATGTAAAACATTTTTTTTTTTTCTTTTTTTTTTTTTTTTTCTTTTTTTGTGTACTTTTATTATATAAAAAAGGAAAAATAAGAACAGATAAATGTAATTCTATATAATAACACAAAACATATTATATATATATTTATAGAAATAATTTATTTTTCTTTATTTTTAGGAATCCTATATAGAAAAAAATACTTACTATTTTATTAGGATAAAAATTGTACAAAATATGTTTTTTTTTTTTTTTTAAATATTATCCTTTTATTAAAGAGTTTTTTCTTTAAGTACATATTAAAATAAAATGATATAAATTATATTTAATAATATTTGTATAATGATAATGTTTTTTAAATTCACAAAAAAAAAAAATATATAAGAAAATTATATTATTAAAATTTTTTTTTTTTTTAATTATATGTAAATAATTATAATATTCTTTTTATTTAATGTTGTTAAGAATTTTAATGATAAAAAGAAATGAGGGCCGGTAGTTCAGTTGGATAGAATGCCCGACTACGGATCGGGAGGTCGTGGGTTCGACTCCTGCCCGGCCTAATTTTTTCATTTTCCTTTGAGAAGGAAAAAAGGATGATATTTTTAAAAAAGATATTATTTATATTTGGTGTTTATTATTATTTTTTTTAATATAAATATAATATTATTACATATTAAATGAAGAATGAATTGTTTTATATACTTGCCACTTCAGAAAATTGTATATGTATATATATATATATATATATTATATAATGAAATAGAATAATGATTTTATAAAATAATGAAACAACAAAATGATAAATTCAATATTCCAAAAGTTCATACATATATTATTATATATCCATCTGTAATTTTAATAAATTATAAAAAAGAATTGCCTATATATATATATATATATATATATAATTGAATAATATATATCTTATATTTTAAAATGAAAATATTTATTTATTCTTTTATTTTTTTTGTTAAAATATTTTAAAATATATATGAATTCATTTTAAATTAGAATGTAAAATATATACTATTATTGCACTCTGTAATATATATATTTTAATAGGACTATATGATTTCTTATGATAAGTAAAATAAATAAATTTGTATATTGTTTTTTTTTGTTTTGTTTAAAATTAAAAAAATTATATATATATTTATATATAATAATAATTTGTTCCATTAATAAATTATAAACTATACATTTCTTGAAAGATATATATAGAATATATATAAGAAAAATTATATAAATATAACAGATTTTTTTTCTATTATTCACTTTATTTTGAGCCCAGAGGGATTCGAACCCCCAGCCTTCTGATCTGGAGTCAGACGCGCTACCGTTGCGCCATAGGCCCAATATCATTAATACCTTGTATTTCTTTCTTGTTCAATTTAATAAATAAAAGAAAAAAAATATATTAAACATATAAATATATATATAAATAACAGTAAATAAATTGATATATTTATATTTTTTATTTTATTATAAAAATACGAAAGAATAAAAACAAATTTATTATATTAAATAAATATATTAATTTACTTTCATATTTATTTATTATTCATATGGAAAATACGAAAAAAAAAAAAAAAAATTTTAAAATATGAATAATTAAAATTTCTTTTTTGAAAAAATAAACATTATATAAATAAAATATAATAAAATTGAGATATTTTAAAATAATATAAAAATATATACTTATATCTTTTTAAATAAAATATAAAAAATATTTTATTGAAAAAATATATATACATATATTATATATATATATATATGTATATATCAATATTAAATTTTAAGCAAATTATATTTTCAAAATTAAACTAATTAGCACCAGTGGCGTAATTGGATAGCGCAATGCCTTCCTAAGGCAAAGGTTATGGGTTCGAGTCCCATCTGGTGTATATTTTGAAAATTTTATATATTATATATATATAAAAATAAATTTATTCTACAATATAAAGGAATATAATAAAAGAAAATGTTTATTTTAAATTTTATAAAAAATATTGTAATAAATATAAGAAATTGAAGAAAGTAAAAATTTCAATATTACAAATATGAAATATTTTATTCTAATATAAATTGAAGATTATATATAGTGAATTTTTATATATTATATATATATATATATATATATATATATATATATTAATAAGAATATATATTTATTATTTATAATAAATAAATATTTCATTTATAATATCATGTTTTACTTAAATTTTTTTTTTTTTTTTTTTTTTTATATATGAAAATAATATGTTAAAAAAATAATATAAAATAAATATTATATGCTGAAGAAACGGAACACATAAAATTAATACATCATATATACTAAATTAATTTATTTTTGTAATTTTTTAAACCATTACTTTATAATTATATTTTTTAGGTAACGTATTTTTTTTTTTTTTTCTTCTTTTTATGAATGGAATAAATGAAAATTAATTTTTGTTATGTTGATATGGATTATTATTTTTAAATTTATTATTAACCACAAGGTGTTCTCTAATAATAAAAAATTAAAAAATGTATTGAGCAAAAAAAAAAATATAACATTTTTAGGTGTGCTCATTATTTATATATAGATAGTAATAATTTAATATATTTAATAGATATAAGAGTAGTTGTTAATTGTATGGAAAATTATATATTTTACAAAAGATTAAAACTCTATAATGATATAGTTGAGCTTAATATGATTATATATTTGATATATGGAAACGCGTCAATTATGATTGCTTAAATAGCATATGAATTTATTTTTTTTATTATTTTTTTTTTTGCTATTGTGTATATAATATATTGAATAAAACTTATAAAATTATACCGTACTTATACATCATTAAAATATATGCATGAGAAGATATTTAATTATTGTCTTAAAATATGAATATTAGAAAAAAAAAATATATTTTATGTAATATTTCAATAAACCTAATTATTTTTGTATGTAAATTATAATAAAATTGTAAAGATTATATATTTATATACCTTCGTGTTTAATATTGATTTCATAGAAAATTCAATATTTTCTAAATATAACATGATACTTGTAATAATGCATTAATTATATTAAATATATATACATATAAATTTTATAATACTAAAGGTTTTTACAAAGATTAGAAAAATAATGAACCATAAATTATATTATTACGTCATATATTTATATATATGTATATATATATATATATATATATATATATATATATATATATATATATATATATATATATAATATATTTAAATATAAATAAATTAAATCACGGGTATACCCTTTTAAAAGTACAATATTATTATATATATATATATATATAATATTTATTTATTTTTCCCATTATATAGATATATCATATATATTTATATAACAAAATATATATTATTAATATTTTAATTCAAAAATAAAATTAAAAGAAAAAAAAGAGGGCGCGCACGGATTTGAACCATGGACCCGCTGATCTGCAGTCAGCTGCTCTACCGCTGAGCTACACGCCCATTCATTATTAAATGTAAAAATAAAAAGTATTACAAAATGAAAAAAATATATAATAAAATAATATAAATAAATATATAATATTAATAATATATATATTTATTAAAATAAAAATTTATGTTCTTTCAATATATTCATCTTAAAATAAAAAAATGCAGGAAAAATAATTGTACTTGTTTATTTCTTTTTTAAAATGATATTATTTTAGGATTATATATTATTTATAATTATTTATAAGAAATATTAATTTAATATTGGAACAACATGTGGTCAGATAGTAGAAAAAAATAGTTTTAATAATAAGGTAATAAAATAAAATTTTAAGGAAATAAAAAGAAATGCATGTACTTTTTTTTTATATTTATATTTATTTATTTTTTTCAGTTGTACGTTAAATGAATTTACTATAATTATGCGAAATAAAAATAGTAATATATAATTTATACGTACAAAATTTAAAAATAATATACATATATATATATATATATATATATATATATTTTTTGATAATAATTATATATGTAATTTATTTTATTTGAGCATCTGTGGTCTAGTGGTAGAATACTTCGTTGCCATCGAAGTGACCCGGGTTCGATTCCCGGCAGATGCAAATTTTATATTTTTATTATATAATGTAATATAGATATTTGTTATACATATATACATATATATATATATTAAAATATATTATATAAAGAAAAAATATTATACGATAATATTTATAGAGTATGCTATTTCTCTAATATTTTTTGAAATATATAATATATGTAAATATATATTATATATATATATATATGCAAGTTCCATATAAATAATAAAGAATAAATAGAATAAAAAATTGTTCTTATCTATATTTTATATTATTAATTATAATATATTTTAATATAGAATTATAAAATTATTTAAAAATATAGTTTTTAATGTTTTTAACTTGAGAATATTTAAAATTTATTCATGTAATATTGAAATATATAGATACCATACTTTTTTAATTACAAAGAAATTTTAATTAATATATATATTTCTTCGTTTATATATTTTTAACATATATATATATATATATTGAATAACAGTATTTTTAATTGAACGTTTTCAAAAAATATAAATGAGTTTAAATATAAGAATTAATAAAATTTTTATGATATATATTGTATTTTATATATTAAGACATGAAAATATAACAAACTCATATGAATGTATTTATTTTGTTATTATAATTTTTTTTTTTTTTTATGTGGTTATTTACCTTTATATATTTAAATTTTATAAAGACATGAAATAAAAAAATATTTTCAGCTGTTTTTTTTTCTCTTTTTGTTTTTCATCAATATAGACGAATTATGTAAAAAAATCTTAATCAAATAATAATGTTAAATAGATATATACATAAATATATATATATATATATATATATATATATATATATGTACAATTGTTTTTTTCTGTAGAAATAAAAATTTTCTGTTAGTATATTATAACAAATGTGTTAAAAATAATATATTGCTCATATTTAAAATATATAAAACCAAAAAACTATATTATAAATATTATAATGTATTTTAAATATATATATATATATATATTTATATTTATATATCAATTTTAACATTTCCTTTTTTATAATTGACAAATATGGTAAAAAAAGAAAAAAAAAAAAAAAATTTATGCGAACTCACGAATTCTATTATCTACATATAAAAACGTTAGACTTATTAAAATAAGTAATATAAATAAAATATTGTCCTTATAACGATGTTGAAGTACATACATGTGTTTAAGAACAAAACTTAGAACAAGTTGAAAAGTCTTTTAGATATGCAGTATATGTTCTATTTTGTTATAGAGTATTTAATATATATATAATTTATACAACCAATCTTTTGTTAAATAAAAAATTAGACAAATACAAAGGAATTTTAATTTTTTTTTTTTGTACTTATATATTTATCACATATATTTATAGTTTCAAAAATTGAATTTTTACAATTTAATAAATAGCATATATGTATATTATTTTTGTGCAAAGGAAAAAAAAGGTATATATATTTTTCTTTAATCTAACTATTTCAAATTAAAAAAGTTAGGATTCTGCTGTACTTCTATATATAAGTATCATTATTATATATAGTATTATTATATAAGAATATATAAATGTATACATAAATATATATATATATATATATATATATATATATCCATATATATATATATTTTTATGAACAAATAAGTATATATATACATTATTTATAAAAAATGGGGTTGTCCTAAATTATTCGTTATATTTATATGAGTAAAAAGTTAATAGAATTATTGAAATATATAATATATATTAAAAATAGGGATCTAATATTTATTTAATTTATCAGTTATTACATTTTTTAAATTATAAATATATATATATATATATATATATATATATACATTTACATTTAATTCATTTTTTTAATAGCATAATATAAAAAATAAACATATATGTATATATTATTTTACAAAATATTTAAAAAATGTAAAATAATATATACATATATATTTATTTTTTATAAAAATATTTATTTTTTAATCTTATATAATTTATTTCGGGAAATAGTAAAAAAAAATATATATAATAATATATATATATATATATATATATATATATATATTTTTATAGTATTCTTTTTATTCTTTTTGAAATTTTATATAAAATTATATAACATCCTATTATATATATAATCCGTGTATTTTTTAAGAAAATATAAAAATTACATATATCACATTATTTTATATAAATGTAAAAATGTAGTAAAAAAAGAAATATTCTTTTTTCCGTATTTTTTTTTATAAAATCCTTATTTTATACTAATCCTCCATCTTACGTG